AAAGCGAAGAAACGTGGACCTGGAAGGGCTCACGCTCTTTGGATGGAGACTTGTTCCATCCGGTATGGTCAAATATCTAGGAGTCGTCATTGACTCCAGGCTGACCTGGAAAGATCACGTCAACAGGGTCATCCAGAGAGCCACTGTTAGCCTTTAGGCCTGTAGAAGATCCATCGGACGCACCTGGGGCTTACAACTACACATAGTCCACTGGCTTTACACATCAGTGATAAGACCAATTATCACGTACGGCAGCTTAGTTTGGTGGAACGCGCTTAGCAAATCCACCTACAGGGCAAAAATCCACCTACAGGGCAAAAATCCACCTAGAGGGCAAAGCTGGATAAGCTCCAATGACTTGCCTGTATGGCTACAATTGGAGCCTCTAGAACCACCCCAACGCTGGCTTCATCTCTTTGTGGAGTCACGGGCCCGGGAGGCTTCTGTCAGACGCAACGATTGGGGACAATGGGTTCACAGAAGGCTGAGTATGGGCCATGCAAGGGCCTGGAGTGACACCATCAGGCAGGACCCCCTTTTCACCAGAAGGGATGCAATGCCAAAAACTTCAGCCCCTCCTAGACAATACAAGGTCGTCATTCCTGCAAGGGACGACTGGCTAGAGCCTGACCCAGGCTTTCGCCGAAGGGGCTCATCTGGTACACAGACGGGTCTGTGACGGGGGAGGGTGCAGGGGCTGGTGCATATAGGCCCTTTGGCAAGAATAAGTCTCGCACTGGGTCAATACCCAACGGTATACCAGACTGAGATCTACGCCATACAGACACGTGCTCAGGAGAATCTCCAAAGAGGTTACTCGGGCAAGCAAATTCATTTATATATGCAGCGAAAGCCAGGCAGCACTCCGAGCCCTTGGCTCAGACAAGGTCAACTCGAGGCTCACGTTTGACTGTATAATAACCCTCAAGCTACTCCGTGGGCTCAACAAGGTAACCCTTGTTAGGGTCCCGGGTCACAGGGGCATAAAAGTCAACGATGAGGCAGACCAGCTGGCTCTTGAAGGTAGCAAAACTGCCTTTATTGGGCCCGAGCCTGCTCTTGCGGTTGCTTCCTGCCTGATAAAAGCCAAGGCCAGGAACCGGTCCAACACGAATGGCGGAAACAGGAAGGCCTCAGATAGTCAGGGATCTTTATACAAGGTCCTTCAAACTGCAAAGAGGCAAAAAGCCTCCTGAAACTAAACAGGAGCCGACTAGGAGCCATCACAGGCATCCTGACGGGACACTAGGTGGTCAAATACCACCTACACAAAATCGGACTCAACAATGAGACGGAATGTAGGTTCTGCACTTTGAGAGGGCAGGTTTCTCGGATGTTCATTTTCAGCAAAAATTGGTTTCGAAAAAAAAAAAAAAAAAAAACGGAAGGCTCTCCACAGATTTAAGGTTAACGATCTAGTTTAGTGCATGAGTGCAATTTGGGTAGCGGTATCAGAAATTTAATGCTGATATTTAAGGTTAATTCTTGAAAGTTATTGGACACAGACAGATATGTATGTTTTACGAGATATTTGTAGTTCCAGACAGTCTACAAGCATCATCGCTGTATAGTCTGAAGCTCTGGATTGGGTTAAGTGATCAGGAATGACATCCCCTGAGTAAGAATTGTTTCTTATTTGCTTGTGTCAGTTCATGTCTAATTTTATATTAACACAATACTCCTCTCAATATTTTAGAAGAATCATCATCAATTAAACATTATTTATTGATACCATACCTGATACTCATTAGTTAATAAGACACACAGCGCAAAACTTGATGTTCTGCAAGCCTGGCAAAACCAGATGTCTTTAACTTTGTTTTGGTTTCACTCAGAACTAGTTCGGAATCAGTCTGCACATGCGCATATTAAAAAACACGTTTTGGTTTTTTCAGAATCGTAATCGAACTGTGTTGACAGTGTTTTGGTTTATCTAGAACTTTTTAAGAACAATTCTGGGATTGTTCTAGAACGGTTCTCTCAGTTCTTGCTTTGAAGGAGGAACTGTTTGAGAATTTTGTGTTTCGGTTTTTTTAGTTCTGAATCGGTTCAGAACTAGTATTAGAACAGTCCTCTATTATTTTTTTGTGCACAAGCAGTTCTGCGCAATACCAGAACCGTTCCAAATTTCGAACCAAAACAAAGCTTGTATCTGGAAATCAAAACATTCTCGGAAGCTCGGTCGTATTGAACAAGTCTCAGTGTTAAGACCGAAGTGGAAATTGGAATTTAATATAGTGGCTCATAGATGGTTTGGCTCGCTCTGACAATTATTCTGCATACCATAGAGGAAGTAGTCTGCACACATTTAGAAGCCTAGTAAATGATAACTGCCGTTCAATTAGTTCGAATTAGGGCGGGTATAAGGGCAGGATAAGATTTAATCAGTGAGTACCTACCTATGATAAAAAATTCTTGATTCTGTATAATAAATAAAATTAATATTTTACAGAGCTCGTTGCTTATTATACTGCAATTTCCATTAGAGACAAATCAACTTTGCGTGAGAAATATAAATTTAATTATTTTTATGGATAACGACCGCTGATAATTAATAGGTTTGCGAATAATTGGGAATCGGTCAATCAATAATTTTTTATTAACTCTAAAGGAGCAAAAAGCTCCGAAAGCTTGGCATTGTAAAAAGAGTTAATAAAAAATTATTGATTGATCGATTCCCAATTATTCGCAAACCTATCTATTACTAGAGTAATAGCCTAGCAAAGCAAAGGCTCATGCATTGCCACAGATAGATCATGTGTTCATCAGTTCATCAGCAATGCTAAAGTTTGCGCATTAAAATATCGAAGCTAAGTCGCTTAGTTTTCGAACAAAAAGAAAAAAAAAACGAATAGAACGAAATCGGACATGATAGCAAGTGAAATTGAATTTGCCATGCTATTATATATATAAACGTTCATGTATTAGGTACGGAAATATATTAGAAACGAGATGTTCAGGTAAATACCTAGAGCATCTTTGAAATTATCAATTTAACTTAGGAAACTTCAAAGGCCAGAATTGTGATAAATAAATATGTTTTAGGGACAGATCAAACGCTCCAAAAATAAATTTTCCCGCACGAATAATTATTTTCACCGAAATACATACCTGGCTAGGCCATTCAATTGACACTAATATCTCAAGAACGGTGTGAGAAATCAGGACAATAACTAGACTGATTGTCCATAGGACAAAGTGTCAGCTGTTGATCTCTAACTACCCCAACTTATTTTCTTTAAATGGCAACTGACAACAAAGCCTTTGTGCCACTTTGTTGGAAAGCTAATGGAAATTCTAATTCCGTAGCAAGTAATTTTAATTTATTTTTTTCAGGCTAATAGTTTTACTTTTGGTTAATGTCAAAAATTACTTTTATAATCTCATATACAGGGTGTCCCACGGTGGATGGCGTATTAGACGTTAATGGAAAACTAAAAAGCGGATCATTTGTAAAATTTGACAACCGGGATAAACCACCATAATCTACACTTTAAAAATATTTTTGTGTATGCGGTGTTGCCGCTTCTACTCTAAATTAGTAGCAGCATTGCTATTTTAAATGAAACACTCTGTATGTGATTGCATATTTGGATTCTACGTAAAATTCTGAGCAGATTTCATGTGATATATTCTATACCTAAGTTCAACTGTTTTGGAAATATTGACAGTTGAAAATTGACTTTTTGCAACTTTGACAGGCTGTAAAACCTAAACGGTTAATTTTAGAGGAAAACCGATCTCACGTTTCTATCTTAGATTTTCAGAAACTATCATTTGATACCAACTTTGAATTTAACCAGAGATTAAATTTAATTGGAATTTTCAATCATGTGCTGTCTTTTGTGCTGGGATTTAAATTTTTGTTATTCAGAACGCGCATTAGGGCTTTGTTGAATCTACTTACACTTTCCTACCCTGACGAGCGAATATCCTAGCAAACAAATTGAAAAATCAGTCAAGAGATATTGGCTCAAAATAACAACTATAGCAGAGTAGCCTCCCGTACAGGACCTCAGTACCTGCTGGTGAAACTGGCTAACTAACCAAAAACTCTTCAGTATTGAATATAGGTAGTGTTGATTGAATGTAGTGTGTGGAATTAATATTTTAGCACAAGGACAGGGGCGGTAACTAATTTAAATTGAATTATTGACTCACAACAATTAACAAAATAACACAGTATGTTTCGATTTTTGAGGAATGTTAGATCGAGGGTTTCTCTGCCGTGCTCTTTCCCCTCGTGAGTTCCAGGTCGATCGGTACGATTTTCTCTAATAATAAATTAGACGTTTCACAAATTTTTCGTTTATTTTACATATCACAACTTCCCTTAAATTTCCCCAATATTTGCTGTTGTCAGGTGCATATTAAAAAAGTAAAATTAAGTAAGTTTTCACAACGTAGGTTCTATTTGCTTTTCATATCGTTTTTCAGAAGATTTGTTGAAAGATGAGATAATAAAAATTCACACCGTTCAATCTTGCGGAACGAGCCCGGTTATGTTATACTTACTACAATATAACGGAGTAACATGCAGTTAATATCCTATTATGGCTTTAGGCGGATCATATTGGGTCATATTCATAAAACACGAGCATATGCTTTTGCTTAAGTTTTTCGAGATAAACATATTCAGCTTTAATGCAGCAAAAAGAGACGGAGGTAGAGTGAAAGCATTTGCTACACTGTTTTTTTTATGTTTAATTCAATGGGCGATATAATTCTAATTTTGTTCCAAACTACAAGTCTGCAGGTATTTTGTTTTTTATTACATATTTTGGAAGTTAATTTGAACAAAAAAATGTCTTCCATATTATATTTGTATCCGATGATTTAGGCTTATATGGAGCGAAATTCTGGCAACTGAAATATCCATAGTTATTGTGGATGGAGGAAGGCATAATGATATAGGTACCTACCTATCAAGACTTAACTAAGCCTCTTTAATGTCAAACTTAAGGTCCAAAATGGAGAATACATAATAAAATAGTACTTACCCTATAACTACAATTGTAAAATCTAGTAAATTCCAGCCGTTTCTTAAATACGCTCCTGGATGCATCAAAAACCCATAGGCGATGATTTTCATGATACATTCTGCCGTAAAAATAACTAAAAAGATGTATTCTATCTTTTCCTAGAAATGAAAAAAGGATTTTAGTTTGCTATAGAAATAAATACGAAAGCTTTAATATTTAATATCAGTTTTGTTTCAACAAGAAAAAAATAAACCACAAGTTTCGCTCGTGAAGTTCTTAATTTGCAGTCAAGATTGTCGTACGACTTTGTGCAACATTTCGATTCAAATTTGCTGTTGAATAGAGTTACGTACCCCTACGGGTTCGCAAAAAAGTGAGAATATTCTTTTGGAGTTGAATATAATTTATATTTATTAAATCACGACAATTCTAACACTACTACTACGACGCTTTCCATCACTATAGGTCCACTTTTCACAAAACTATATGACTAACTCTATCTTACCGACTTCGACTAAAGGTGGAACCATGGAAAGAATCCCATAAGATATGAATAAGATAAAAAATAAGAATAACAAAAGACAAGAAATAACGATGAAAAGGCATTTATAGAGCAAAAAAAAAATAAAAATGCCAAATAAGAAAGACCGAAGCCGAAAATCGTGGCATCCATGCATCAACTTGACTGTCATGTTAAATGTTAGACACATGCGCCTTTTTAAAAAAAGATAAAATAAAAAGAAAGCCATCGTTTATCTTATTTCTTGTTTTTATTCTTATCTTATTTACTGCATAAATGCCTTATGACATATGTGTATGTGTACATTCAACTCTCATATTATTTTTATTTTATTCCTACTTTATGTTATTTGTCTGTATAAATCCAACACAACTTCATATTAGTAGGTACCTGCACTGACTTAACCTACTCTTTTTTTCACACACTTCGATCCTCCTGTTTTTTTTTCTGGATTTCACTCTACTAGGAATTTCTGATGCACATTAATGGTAAGAATTTCTAAAGTTCTATAATATCTTAGGTAAGTTATGATGAACATCAAGTATACGTCAATAGTTAGTCGTGAATTGTATCGACTAAAAGACAGAATGGGAAATCGGGTTTAAGGACCACAAGATTTTACGCCCTGAGGATTGAGACTTTGTATGTATTTGAAAGGCCATTCATGGAACCTTCCCATGTGTTGTAACCATTTTGTGCCGATGAATTTTCTCAACATGGTGAAAACGGATATTTGGCAACGTCGCACGCTTGCATGCTTTATACGACGTCACTACCCTCCTCTAGTGAGCTGTTCGCCCGAACAACTTCTTCTGATTGCATCCTAGTCGGTGTATTCTGGCATCTGTATGAGGCTAGCTTTTCTACGTGTAGGAAGACCTGTGCACCAAGTTGTTGTTCTTCTTGACGATCCTCTACAGTCGTTCTCAAAGTCTTTGTAATTTTGGGCATATTTGCTGCAACTGATACGAACAGACGTCGTGGCCTTCATTGACGATGGTCCATGACTGCCGTTTGTCAAGTCTCATCTTCATTCTTCCACTATTCAGGCGTATAGTCTATTCCTGGCGTAATCGTGAATTACTCTGGGTCTCTCCTCTTAAAATCAGCAACATAAACATAAGTGCAGCTTGGTCTCCATCGGTTGGTGCAGATCTACGGGAAGCTTAACTTCTCTCCCAGTCATAAGTATTCGTGGTAAGTACTATGAATAGCCGGCGAATTCGGACTGAGAGCTTCCATAAGCCAGAAGGAAAAGAGGCACCAATTCCAGTTTCGCTGGCGCTCAATCACAAACATAGACAGGTATTTATTGATGATCCAATTGTGCCTCGCCGTCGGACTGTGAATGAGGCGGAGTCATTCTCGTTTTTGTTGTTTCCAGTAGCACCATCAACCATTTTCATACTTTGGACTCAAAATATCTCCATTGAAGTTTCATTGGTACTCTCTTTCATGCTATAATGTTTTTCAATGATGCTTTCTGGAGTTGTAGGATCAGTTAAATTGTGAATCTCTATCTTAGACGTAGATTCTTGCAACTTTCCATCAAATCAGATTTCTCAATTTCAAATTTTACTTCACGTATATAATTTCTTGGTGAAACAAAACCAGTCCACTTAGTTGATGACCATTCAATGTTTTCATTTTGCATAATTCTTAAAAACTATCAAACATTTGATAGGCCAATATTTTGGTGGTTGAGAAGTAAAAACTATTTTTACTGTACTTTAGAAATTAGTTTTACTTCTTTCCAACGATGGATTTTCGGTCCGTCAAGTCAGCTCCGCCTATTCAACTTTTTTATATTTTCTCGCGCTAATTAACTGTGTTCCCAGTGTGCTTTACTGTGCTGCTAATTAATATTAGGAACTTTGCTGAGTTACAGTTAATTTTATTAACAAAAAATTTGAGGGGGGGCCAACTTGACGCTCAGCCCCGAATATTTTATTTTACAAAAGCAAAACTCAATCTAACTGTGCTGAGATGCTGATGTCAATATTTTCAACTTAGTTTTTCAAAAAATGCTATGGCGGAGACAGTTTTTCGCTCACTTCCTCATTTTTTCGATTATTTTGTCAAACAAAAGCAAAAATTGTGCTGGTAATATTTTAAGCTTAATTTTTCATTTGACCTTAGTTTTTCAAAAAAAATTCTTTGCCGGGGCCAACTTGACGTTGATTATTTTATGGTAATTTTTAATACACTGAGAAATCTGAGCGTCGTTCGAAGGGGCGTTTTGAAAAAAGGTTTAGCATAGAATAGGTAATGTTGAAAATATCAACAGCACAGTTTAGCACACTAAAAGTTGCATTCTTTTCTGGTTTTGTTCTACAAAATAATCGAAAAAATGAGGAAGTGAGCGTAAAATTGTCCCCGCTATAGCATTTTTTGAAAAAAAAAAAGAACGAGGGTTTAACGAAAAACTAAGTTGAAAATATTACCAGTACAGTTCAGCACACTGATAGTTGTATTGATTTTTGCTTTTGTTTGATAAAATATTCGAAAAATAGGGGTGCTGAGCGTCACGTTGGCCCTACCTCAATTTTTTGTGAATAGCATTGAGTGCAACTCAGCACAGTCCCTAACGCACCGCTATAACTTAAGGGATATTTAATCCAAGTGGAGCTTTGAATGTGACTCACGTAGAAACAAAAGTCACATTCAAAAGTTCCACTTAAATTAAATATCCCTTAATATCCCTTAAGTGATAGCGGTGAAAATGGCCGTTAGGGACTGTGCTGAGTTGCACTCAATGCTATTCACAAAAAATTGAGGTAGGGCCAACGTGACGCTCAGCACCCCTTTTTTTCGAATATTTTATCAAACAAAAGCAAAAATCAATACAACTATCAGAATCACAGTGAAGCACACAGCTCATAGGCACGAAAAAATATAGAAAAGTTGAATAGACGGGGCTAACTTGACGGACCCATGAATTTCAGTTTACACCAAGTATCGGCTCAATCAATTCAAATTAATTATTTTAGTTTTTTCTACTCGCTCGATATAATATAAAAATAAAAATATTATCGTATATATTATCTTCTCGCATAAACTATTCAGACAAGAAATATTTTATTGTATAAGTACAATACATCGGGATTAATGAATGGAGATAAAAATTCTTTAAATAAAAACAGAAATGCAGATGCCAATGCAGAAAACATTCAATACTCATAAATCGTCTATCCAAAGCATAAAAAAACAGATCTATATCCCATCAAGGGATTTTTCTGTTGGCATTAAGCTTGGTAACTAACATTTCGAGCCAAAAATAGGAACAATTGTTTACTTACCAAATACGCATTTGTCGTGTTAGAATCGCCATTAGGAAATGGTGTGTATACAGCCAGAGCTACACAGTTTGCAAAAATCGTCATTAATATCAACCATTCGAAGGGTCTGTTGTCATAGTTAAGGAAAACGAGTAAAATTTACATTTAGTGGATTTTCAAAGCCACAAAGGTGCGTTTTCTTTACAACCAAGCTACAAAGGCTATTGAATTAAGATTGCTTGATTTTGCAGCATTTTTCATCCATGATAAAAGTTTGTATGTATTTTATTCACATAATACTTTATTGTTCTTTTGACCGCCAATACTGAGTTTAGTTTACCACAATGTTGAACACAATATTTCATTATAAAAGTTTAGATTACAAAAAACTATTCAAACATATTTATCCTGAGCTAATCATAAAATTATTTTTGCTACTACGTGGAGATTTTCACTGAGATATAGTGTTAAAATACGCCAAAAGATCGCATCATACTCGACTAAAAACTGCATTAATCATTGAAAAATGATTGACCTGGTAAATTAGTTCTAGTTTTCGGTGTATTTCCTACATGACACTGGCGAGGTGAAAGGACGCCGAAACGTGTATGTGATTGGATCCGCAGTGAAAACATGTCGCTGAAGTTAGCATCAGATTCAGAAATGAAAATCATGTTTTTACAGTCGACCAAATAAGTAGTGCCACAAATAAAATAAATCAAAAAATCTATTCTAAAAGATTCTGTAACATCATCAAACTTGATGGAAATAATACTGAGGGTGATGTACGTCACATACTGAAAAATCATATGTCAGGGAGGGGTTGAAGCGGGTAGATTCCGCCCCAAAAATGTAAATGAGATCAGATATCGAAAATTTTGTAGCACCACCAAAGTTGGTGGAAATATTACTTGAACAGATACGAGGGACATATCAAAAAAGCAAATGTTTATCTCGGGGTTGAAGAAGGGAAATTCAACCCCAAAGTTGACGAAAAAAAACAAACTTCCTTGAAACACTTTGTAGCAGTTTCAAAGTTGGTCGAATTATTCCTTGGAAAGATACGAGTAAAATATCAAAAAAGCACATGTATATCTCGGGGTTGAAGGGGGGAAATTCAACCCCAAAGTTGACAAAATAACCAAACTTCTTTGAAAAATTTTGTAGCAGATTCAAAGTTGGTCCAATTATTGCTTGGATAGATACGAGTAAAATATCAAAAAAGCACATGTTTATCTCGGGGATGAAGGGGGGAAATTCAACCCCAAAGTTGACGAAAAAAATCAAACTTCCTTGAAAAATTTTGTAGCAGATTCAAAGTTGGTCCAATTATTGCTTGGATAGATACGAGTAAAATATCAAAAAAGCACATGTTTATCTCGGGGATGAAGGGGGGAAATTCAACCCCAAAGTTGACGAAAAAACCAAACTTCTTTGAAAAATTTTGTAGCAGATTCAAAGTTAGTCGAATTATCTTTTAGACCAGATACGAGTAAAATATCAAAAAAGCACATGTTTATCTCGGGGATGAAGGGGGGAAATTCAACCCCAAAGTTGACGAAAAAAATCAATCTTCCTTGAAAAATTTTGTAGCAGATTCAAAGTTGGTCCAATTATTGCTTGGATAGATACGAGTAAAATATCAAAAAAGCACATGTTTATCTCGGGGATGAAGGGGGGAAATTCAACCCCAAAGTTGACGAAAAAAATCAAACTTCCTTGAAAAATTTTGTAGCAGATTCAAAGTTGGTCCAATTATTGCTTAGATAGATACGAGTAAAATATCAAAAAAGAACATGTTTATCTCGAGGTTGAAGGGGGAAAATTCAACCCCAAAGTTGACGAAAAAACCAAACTTCTTTGAAAAATTTTGTAGCAGATTCAAAGTTAGTCGAATTATCTTTTAGACAGATACGAGTGAAATATCAAAAAAGCACATGTTTATCTCGGGGTTGAAGGGGGGAAATTCAACCCCAAAGTTGACGAAAAAAATCAATCTTCCTTGAAAAATTTTGTAGCAGATTCAAAGTTGGTCCAATTATTGCTTGGATAGATACGAGTAAAATATCAAAAAAGCACATGTTTATCTCGGGGATGAAGGGGGGAAATTCAACCCCAAAGTTGACGAAAAAAATCAAACTTCCTTGAAAAATTTTGTAGCAGATTCAAAGTTGGTCCAATTATTGCTTGGATAGATACGAGTAAAATATCAAAAAAGAACATGTTTATCTCGAGGTTGAAGGGGGAAAATTCAACCCCAAAGTTGACGAAAAAACCAAACTTCTTTGAAAAATTTTGTAGCAGATTCAAAGTTGGTCCAATTATTGCTTGGACAGATACGAGTAAAATATCAAAAAAGCACATGTTTATCTCGGGGTTGAAGGGGGGAAATTCAACCCCAAAGTTGACGGAAAAAAACAAACTTCCTTGAAAAATTTTGTAGCAGATTCAAAGTTGGTCCAATTATTGCTTGGATAGATACGAGTAAAATATCAAAAAAGCACGTTTATCTCGGGGATGAAGGGGGGAAATTCAACCCCAAAGTTGACGAAAAAAATCAAACTTCCTTGAAAAATTTTGTAGCAGATTCAAAGTTGGTCCAATAATTGCTTGGATAGATACGAGTAAAATATCAAAAAAGCACATGTTTATCTCGGGGATGAAGGGGGTAAATTCAACCCCAAAGTTGACGAAAAAAATCAATCTTCCTTGAAAAATTTTGTAGCAGATTCAAAGTTGGTCCAATTATTGCTTGGATAGATACGAGTAAAATATCAAAAAAGCACATGTTTATCTCGGGGATGAAGGGGGTAAATTCAACCCCAAAGTTGACGAAAAAAATCAATCTTCCTTGAAAAATTTTGTAGCAGATTCAAAGTTGGTCCAATTATTGCTTGGATAGATACGAGTAAAATATCAAAAAAGAACATGTTTATCTCGAGGTTGAAGGGGGAAAATTCAACCCCAAAGTTGACGAAAAAACCAAACTTTCTTTGAAAAATTTTGTAGCAGATTCAAAGTTAGTCGAATTATCTTTTAGACAGATACGAGTGAAATATCAAAAAAGCACATGTTTATCTCGGGGTTGAAGGGGGGAAATTCAACCCCAAAGTTGACGGAAAAAAACAAACTTCCTTGAAAAATTTTGTAGCAGTTTCAAAGTTGGTCGAATTATTCCTTGGAAAGATTACGAGTAAAAATATCAAAAAAGCACATGTATATCTCGGGGTTGAAGGGAGGAAATTCAACCCCAAAGTTGACCAAAATAACCAAACTTCTTTGAAAAATTTTGTAGCAGATTCAAAGTTGGTCCAATTATTGCTTGGATAGATACGAGTAAAATATCAAAAAAGCACATGTTTATCTCGGGGATGAAGGGGGGAAATTCAACCCCAAAGTTGACGAAAAAAAATCAAACTTCCTTGAAAAATTTTGTAGCAGATTCAAAGTTGGTCAATTATTGCTTGGATAGATACGAGTAAAATATCAAAAAAGCACATGTTTATCTCGGGGATGAAGGAGGTAAATTCAACCCCAAAGTTGACGAAAAAAATCAATCTTCCTTGAAAAATTTTGTAGCAGATTCAAAGTTGGTCCAATTATTGCTTGGATAGATACGAGTAAAATATCAAAAAAGAACATGTTTATCTCGAGGTTGAAGGGGGAAAATTCAACCCCAAAGTTGACGAGAAAAAACCAAACTTCTTTGAAAAATTTTGTAGGAGATTCAAAGTTAGTCGAATTATCTTTTAGACAGATACGAGTAAAATATCAAAAAAGCACATGTTTATCTCGGGGATGAAGGGGGGAAATTCAACCCCAAAGTTGACGAAAAAAATCAAACTTCCTTGAAAAATTTTGTAGCAGATTCAAAGTTAGTCCAATTATTGCTTGGATAGATACGAGTAAAATATCAAAAAAGCACATGTTTATCTCGGGGTTGAAGGGGGGAAATTCAACCCCAAAGTTGACGAAAAAAATCAAACTTCCTTGAAAAATTTTGTAGCAGATTCAAAGTTGGTCCAATTATTGCTTGGATAGATACGAGTAAAATATCAAAAAAGCACATGTTTATCTCGGGGTTGAAGGGGGGAAATTCAACCCCAAAGTTGACAAAATAACCAAACTTCTTTGAAAAATTTTGTAACAGATTCAAATTTGGTCCAATTATTGCTTGGATAGATACGAGTAAAATATCAAAAAAGCACATGTTTATCTCGGGGATGAAGGGGGGAAATTCAACCCCAAAGTTGACGAAAAAAATCAAACTTCCTTGAAAAATTTTGTAGCAGATTCAAAGTTGGTCCAATTATTGCTTGGACAGATACGAGTAAAATATCAAAAAAGCACATGTTTATCTCGGGGTTGAAGGGGGGAAATTCAACCCCAAAGTTGACAAAATAACCAAACTTCTTTGAAAAATTTTGTAACAGATTCAAATTTGGTCCAATTATTGCTTGGATAGATACGAGTAAAATATCAAAAAAGCACATGTTTATCTCGGGGTTGAAGGGGGGAAATTCAACCCCAAATTTGACGAAAAAACCAAACTTCCTTGAAAAATTTTGTAGCAGATTCAAAGTTGGTCCAATTATTGCTTGGACAGATACGAGTAAAATATCAAAAAAGCACATGTTTATCTCGGGGTTGAAGGGGGGAAATTCAACCCCAAAGTTGACAAAATAACCAAACTTCTTTGAAAAATTTTGTAACAGATTCAAATTTGGTCCAATTATTGCTTGGATAGATACGAGTAAAATATCAAAAAAGCACATGTTTATCTCGGGGATGAAGGGGGGAAATTCAACCCCTTAAAGTTGACGAAAAAAATCAAACTTCCTTGAAAAATTTTGTAGCAGATTCAAAGTTGGTGCAATTATTGCTTGGATAGATACGAGTAAAATATCAAAAAAGCACATGTTTATCTCGGGGTTGAAGGGGGGAAATTCAACCCCAAAGTTGACAAAATAACCAAACTTCTTTGAAAAATTTTGTAACAGATTCAAATTTGGTCCAATTATTGCTTGGATAGATACGAGTAAAATATCAAAAAAGCACATGTTTATCTCGGGGTTGAAGGGGGGAAATTCAACCCCAAATTTGACGAAAAAACCAAACTTCCTTGAA